CATCATGACCAAAAGGCGGTGTGTTCAGCTGGCTGCAGGGACCTTGCTAACCGGCTTCATCAATTCCATGATTCATACCTCATTGACCTTTACATTATCCTTCTGTGAGCCCTATAAAATTCACCAATATTACTGTGATATCCCACCACTAATGGCTGCCTCTTGCTCCTCTACCTACCTCCCTGAACTGGTTGCTCTCCTTGTGGCTGGCATTTTAGGAGGTGGTGCATTCCTGGTCACTCTGATATCTTACATCTATATCATCTCTACTATCTTGCGCATGCGCTCTGCTGAGGGAAGGCGCAAAGCCTTTTCTACCTGTGGTTCCCACTTGACTGTAGTTTTCCTGTTTTATGGGACCACCATTGCCACCTATGTTCGCCCCACCTCCAGCTATTCACCCAAACAGGACAGAATTGTTTCCATGTTGTATGGGATTGTTACTCCTATGCTAAACCCTATGATTTACAGTCTGAGGAATAAGGATGTTAAGAGGGCCTTGGTCAAAGCATTTCGCTTGAAAATATTTTCATGAAATTATTGGGTTCATTCCATTTGTCCTTGAATACTGTCCTTCAAATACGTTGTACTTCTGAGCTAAAAGTCACTACAATATTCCTTCCTTCCTTCCTTCCTTCCTTCCTTCCTTCCTTCCTTCCTTCCTTCCTTCCTTCCTTCCTATGAGCCTGTACTTGGAGACAATCATTTAATGAAGTACCATATTTACTGAAATCTAATGTGCACTTCTTGGGGGCCAAATTATGTTGCGAAAATAAAGGTGTGCATTAGATTCAATGGCGCATTAGATTTGAGTAAATACCTTATGCAGTTTGGACACAAGTCTGCAATTCTCACATGCAATCTGACACTCAAATTTTCCTAGATACTCATTTGAAAACACGGGTGTGGTGAAGGAAGGCAGAGAAAGAGGATGTTGGCTCAAGAGGTGAAAGTTCTTTGAGAACCAGGGTGGGTGGGTGACTAGACTTGTTTGCTTGCAGAAGAGAAACAGAGATATTCACAGGAATTAGGGGGCGTTCAAGAGTGGGGTTCTGAGAAGGTTTTAAGGCAAAAATAACAAGAATGCAAGTTAGAGACTTTGGGCAGTCACCCTTTTGCAGTGGGAGGGTATGGATAGTGAGGAAAGGGGGAATTGATATTTTAGGGTGAGACAACAGACAAGGAAGAGAACACGTTTCCCCAAGAGAAGGGGACTTCATGGGGCTTCAAAGCAGAAGGCAGGGGAAGGAGAGGGAGGGGTGGACTTGAGAGAGTCTAATGCATTTCCTGATTCTGCAAGAATGAGGTCTGTTGGGGTTGATGGTGGTGACATGGCAATCTCCTCAGCATAGGAATGAAGGAAAGCCAAGGGTAAAATGCAAGGTGTGTGAGTGTGTTGTTCCACAAGAAATTTTCTTCAACAGAGACAAACAAAGTCTCTTGGGTGACCATGGATTCCTAGATAGTTAGGTGAAAAGCATCAGTTCTTATGTTTGAGTTGGGCTTGGAGATTAATAATAAAGCAAAGAGTGTAAACTAATGGCAAAGGTTAGTACTTAAGGCTAAGAAAGGCTCCTTAAAGGTAAAGGGACCCCTGACCATTAGGTCCAGTCGTGGACGACTCTGGGGTTGCGGCGCTCATCTCGCTTTATTGGCCGAGGGAGCTGGCGTACAGCTTCCAGGTCATGTGGCCAGTATGACTAAGCCGATTCTGGCGAACCAGAGCAGCGCACGGAAATGCCGTTTACCTTCCCGCCGGAGCTGTACCTATTTATTTACTTGCACTTTGATGTGCTTTCGAACTGCTAGGTTGGCGGGAGCAGGGACCGAGCAACTGGAGCTCACCCCGTTGCGGGGATTCGAACTGCCGACCTTCTGATCGGCAAGTCCTAAGCTCTGTGGTTTAACCCACAGCGCCACCTGCGTCCCAAGAAAGGCTCCTTAGCCCTCATCAACTGTCATGAATGAGCCAGCCCCCAGGGAAAGTTTGCAGCCAGCTCCCAGTGAAGGACGTAACCAGGAAGAGAGAGGGAGAGTTAACTACAAGACAGGATGATTATAGCCGGAAGTCAACTTCCCTGCCCTTAGGAATGTAAACTGATAGCCGAGTTGCAGAGAGTCAGCTGGCAGCTTGCCAGCGCACTAGTGAAGGACAAAATGCAGGGGCTACAATTGAAAGCAGCTCAGAGAGCGTGAAGGACCACGGTAGTACTGTTTCAGAGAATGAGGAAGGGGTGGGAGCTGACCCCCTTAGTCCAAGGTCCAGGGGCATAAGGGGGGGGGTCTGCAAGACAGAATACATCACAAGAGGAAGTTTGGCTGTTTCTGGTCTCGCCGGAAACACCGTCCTTAGAAGGGACATCTTTGATTTATAGATGGACAGCTGTGATCGCCGCTCCAGTGAACTCTGTTTTTGCAATATATCTTCTAGTTAATTAACTACACTCATTTGTTATCAACACTCCCTGACATCTACACATATTGAAGGCATTGGCATGTTGAAGTTGATATTGATTTTGCTGACTAATGCTGGTTCCGTCTGTGTGTTGATAACAGGAAGATCAATCCTGGCAAGCTATTTGAGATACCATCTTCTTTCTCCCTATTTGTGACTTTCTAATAGCTGGATAGTTAACAGTGCACACCACCATTTCTAGATTCTTCTGGTTGGCCTCACATATGGAAGATAACAGGAATGCAAGATGCAGTTTATAAAAAAGTCTTTTAAACCAGGTTTGGTCCCAAGTAAATCTGCTGCCCTTGAATTTCATAGAAATCAATGAGATTTTATGGTTAAATAAAGTTTGCTAGAGTTCTCCAGAACATAGGACTAACATTTTTTTTCTCTGGATCAGGAGCATGGGCAGGGAGGGGCAGCTGCCCCCCATCAATAAAAATCAATAAAATTATATAGCTAACTTAGGTTCTGTCCCCCAACAAAAGCCTGCCCCACCCAAAACAAAAATCCTGGCTAAGCCCATGATCAAGACCATTGTATTCCTCTTGGCCAAAAGAGCTTTTGCGCGTATGAGTCTTCAAGTCAGCAACTGCAGTATTCCTTTGAGCCCTTTGTCCAAATGTAGCCACTTTCTCTTGGTGCCTTTTCCTCTCATGGCAGATGTAGTGTTTTTTAAACTTACTTCAGAAAACATATGCCAGCATTTCTCTTGACTCCACATTTTTTTTTAAATATTCTTGCTTGATAATGAGATTTCAAGGTTAAAGTAAATTCCACTGAGTTTACCAGAATGTGGGCACAACCCATTTTCTATGGATCAGGGCCATTGCATTCAAAATACCTTTTGGCCAAATGAATTCGCACACTACTGAGACTTCAACTCAGGGACTGCCGTATTCCTCAGAGACTTTTGTCCCAATATAGACACTTTGTCTCGATACCATTCACCCACACTGCTGTGCCAAAGGAAAAATAATACGGTACTTTGCCCCTTTGACTCAAGTCAGTGGCGATGTTTATTTAATTTTAGTTCAGAAGAGGCATGACATCATTCTCCTGATGAGACATAAATTCTTCACATTGCCCTCTCTTGCTGTGGAAAGACTCTTACTTACAAGGAAAGCAAGGAAGGCAAGTAGATGCCAAGGAGTGTGGTGGAGTCTCCTTCTTTGGAGGTCTTTAAGCAGAGGCTTGACAACCATATGTCAGGAGTGCTCTGATGGTGTTTCCTGCTTGGCAGGGGGTTGGACTCGATGGCCCTTGTGGTCTCTTCCAACTCTATGATTCTATGATTCTATGATTCTATGATTCTAGATGCTTTATTGTACTGGCAGACTTAGGCAGTCAAACATTTTAGCTAGGTAGTGCTATTTTTTAGTGATAGGCAAACTGTATTCATTCAAAGAGTTGAAGATCAGACATCAGAACTCATGATATCAGTGGGTGATGGGCAAATTTCCATGTCACAATCTTGAATCCCTTATCAGTAAGAAGGGACTTTATACTGTAGCTTTCGGTTTTGCAGTAGAAATACTATATCATCTTCACAATATACATTGTTGTGATGACTTAATTTTTAAATCCATTTAGTTTTCCATTAAACCCATTCCATTATTTAAAATTAAAACCCATTCCATTGATTTAAAATTCAGTTGTGGGAATGTATAAGGTAGGTTCAGTTACTGTTTATAACAATTATTGTATGTCTGCAATACACTGGTATCATTATGTAAATTTCCAACCTATTTATTTCTATTAAACATTGACAGATTTCTCAAATAACTCTCTTACCCTTAAGAGGTCTGGTATTAAGAGGAAGTGAAATTTTGGAGGGTAGTGTTGTTAGATGATACTATACCTGTTTTATTGATATTGGGATTTTCCTCTTTCATCATGCATTTTAATGAAAAATAAATGACATTTTTAAATGAAAAATATTTTGAAAAATCTTATTTTGTCAGTTGAAAATAGCTGATGAAAAAGCTGGAATAATTTGTATCTGGTTTTATAAAGTTTAACATTAGAAAACAAATGGACATTGAATGGATTAATATATTTTAATAGCAAATTCATGCTATCTTGATGTAGCCCAAAGGGTACCATGCACACCAGGAAAAGGTATAATCTGATGTAGGAAACCCTGACATTTGCAGAAGAGGACAACATCTTTAGGTGGGAAGTTTTAGGTGGAGGGAAACTATCAAACTCAGCATGCCATGCAATGCTGTCTCACTGTGGAAAGGAGTGAATAAAACACTGTGGGTGGACATTGCAACATTGTGTTGCAGGTCAAACTTGTAGTTTTAAGAAAGACAACAAATGTCTGAACATTGAGGGAGCCTGGCTCCCTTAAAACTGATACCAAGGGGACCAAGGTGCCTACGATCCCCTAGACTTGGGGCATTGGCACCATGCTTCCTGACTGGCTGTCTTATTAATAACAGAACTACCCTTAGATTACAAACTGAAGGATCCCTGCTCTTGCTCTTCTAACAAATCTGCTTTCTTTTCTCCGTGCTTTAGATATGCTATTTGAGTGGCAATGGAGAAAGCCAATATTACAAAAACAAGAGATTTTTACTTCACAGAGCTGTCTGATCTCCCAGAAGTGCGAATCTTCCTCTTTGTAGCAATTCTGCTGATTTACTTGATCACTCTGGCAGGGAATGGCTCAATCCTCATGGCAATAGCGACGGATGTTCACCTCCAGACGCCCATGTACTTCTTCATCAGCAACCTGTCTTTCCTGGATGTCCTTTGTCCAACTGTCACTGTGCCCAAGATGCTCCAGGTCTTCTTGTCAGAGGACAAGTCAATATCATTTGTGGGCTGTGTATTACAACTCTTCTTTCTGATTGATGCTGTGGGCACTGAAATTTTATTACTCTCAGTGATGGCGTATGACCGCTACGTGGCTATCTGCAGTCCCTTGCACTACACAAACATCATGACAAAATGGCGGTGTGTTCAGCTGGCTGCAGGGACCTGGCTAACCGGCTTCATCAGTTCCATGATTCATACTTCATTGACCTCTACATTATCCTTCTGTGAGCCCTATAAAATTCATCAATATTACTGTGATATCCCACCGTTAATGGCTGCCTCTTGCTCCTCTACCTACCTCCCAGAACTGGCTGCTCTCCTTGTGGGTGGCATTTTAGGAGGTGGTGCATTCCTGGTCACTCTGATATCTTACATCTATATCATCTCTACTATCTTGCGCATGCAGTCTGCTGAGGGAAGGCGCAAAGCCTTTTCCACCTGTGGTTCCCACTTGACTGTAGTTTTCCTGTTTTATGGGACCACCATTGCCACCTATGTTCGCCCCACCTCCAGCTATTCGCCCAAACAGGACAGAATTATTTCCATGTTGTATGGGATTGTTACTCCTATGCTAAACCCTATGATCTACAGCCTGAGGAACAAAGACGTTAAGAGAGCCTTGGTCAAAGCCCTCAGCCTTAAAATATTTTCATGAAATGGTTAGGTTCTGTCTTTCCTGTCCTTCAATGCTCTCAGAATATGTTGGACTTCTGAGCACATTCTTGACTAATACTTGATTGATCCTTTGAGAGGGAAAGCAAATTAAGTCTTGATATCAGCCCTGGTCCAGATTTTTCTCAGTTTCCACAGGACATATTTTAAGGGAGTAGAATACACAGCCTTTAAAAGGGTGTATCCTGGATATTTAAACTGTTGTTTTCATAAAGATTATAAGTCTAAAGCCATGACTGTTTTTGGTGTTCAAATTAGTTTTCATTGAAGATTCCATGGGGTTAGTTGTACATTTGTGGGTTCACACTAGTTCACAGTCTTATACCTGGAGTAACAGCAGCAGCAGCAGCAACAACAACAACAACAGGCCTTAATATTTGTGAGTACCGATGGTTCAAAATCCTTGCATCAAGGAATTCTGGAATCAGGAGCTTCAACCTGTCTTCACATAGTGCCTGAGAGTAGGTCCACCTGAATGCAGTGGGAGTTACTTCTGAGTGTAAACATTTTATAAAAGATATTTGCTCCAATTCTTCCTTTGTTTATCTTTTACTCTCATTATATGCAATTCCCCCTGGCACTGTAGCCCCTATGCTGTAACTCATCTGCATCTAGACTGTATGCTCCTTGACTCAGCAACCCTCTTGCTCATGTTTCTCGGAAAAGTGTCATGTATCCTAATAGAGTTATAAAAGTATACCTAAACAACTCAATCTTCTTAATACAAATTGATAATGTTTGCAGATGATATTATTCTGTTCATCACAAAACCTCACAGTTCTGTTCCAATATTACTGCAAACCATAGATGTTTTTGGCAATATCTGTGGATATACTATAACCTGGTCCAAATTGGAGTTGATGTTAATAGGAAATAACCTTTTTGGTTCAACCGTTTAAACAATACTAATTTTGTATTTGCATAGACAACATAAAATATCTAGGCATATGAATACCACGAGACTTATCTACATTAGCGTGATTAAACAGCAACAAACTATATCATGAGGTATCAATGGATATTGACAAATGGGAGTCATTGAACCTAACCCTGTGGGGAAAAGTCAATGCTCTTAAACTAGTTTATATCTTAAGAGGAATTCCAATTCACATACTGAGTAAATAGTTTAACAAAATTTAATCTTTGTTTCGAAAATGCCTTTGGGGCTCTTTAATTCCAAGAATATCTATGCCAAAAATGAAAATACCAATAAAGGAAGGAGGATTTGGGACCCCAGACTTAGAATTTTTTCACCAAGCATATTTACTGTCAGCTACACAATTCTGGAGACCCACAACAATGGTCTAAATTGGGCTGCTTTGGAATATTCCTATGTAGCACCGTGCAAAAGATGGGTGGCACTTGGGTCTAAATAAATTAATACTCGAGATGCTATTGAAACAATAACATCAGTTTGAATTGTATGACACCACATGTCCAAAAAATATAATTTTGACCTTTTCTCCTATGACAAAATGACTTTGTGCGGAAACCTGTCTTTAAAAATCGGTAGAGAAATGGTCGTTTGGAAGAGGTAGATGAATTTGGGTGCATTAATGTTAGACCAGCTCATAAATGAAGAGGATGAATTTTATACATATTCCTTCTTAAGGGACAAATACAGATTACCTACAAATGCTCAATGACAATATCTCCAGATAAAACACTTGCTAACCACCACCTACGGATCATCAGCTTTTACAGCCTCAGAGACCCCAGAGATATTGAAGCAGTTGATTAATTCTTATGCAACAAAAAACACCGGCCATCAACATATATAAATCTTTGCTACTAGCAAACCTATCGGACATACAGGTATTGATGGAGGAATGGAATAAAGAATTAGAGATCTCAATTTTGGCCACACAAGTGGGAAACTGTTTTAAGTGCTATAAGAAGGGCATCTCTGGACCTTAAATTGAGGCTCATACAACAAAAAATAATACAGACCCCATTTATGTTTGTTTTAAAAAGGGCTATCTAAGGTATCTAACTGTTAGAGATGCAATAGGGATAATGCTTCTCTAAAACATGTTTTTTCATTCTCCTATATTGAAATATTTTTGGCAGAAGTTAACTGAAACTATCAGAACTGTATGGAAAACCTTACATTTGCAGAGCAAAATATCCTTTTGAATTATATACACAGCACATGGAACCTTACAAAAGGACAATATGAGTGGACTCTTCACTCCCTTACCACAGCAAAAAGACTTATACTGATTAATTGGAAAAATAAAAATGTGGCTCCCGTCTACAGTTGGATTGAAGACTTCCACAAACTAACAGCATACGAACAACTTGCATATAAATGCAGACTTGCCATGGACAAATTTAATGATATTTGGAATCCATTCTTACAAATACTGTAATAGGTTAAGATCTGGTGAAGTACAATACAGTGGTGCCTCGCAAGACGAAAAGAATCCGTTCCGCGATTCTCTTCATCTAGCGGTTTTTTCGTCTTGCGAAGCAAGCCCATTGACAGCTTAGCGGATTAGCGCTACAGCGGTCTAGCTGCTTTTCGCGATCAGCTGTTAAGCGGGTTATCAGCGGAACAGCTGATAGGCAGCTTAGCGGCTTAGGAAAAGGGGGAAAAAAGTGAAAAAACCCGCGGGGACGCGCAAGATTTTTTCGTCTTGCGAAGCAACCCCATAGGGAAATTCGTTTTGCGAAGCGCCTCCAAAACGGAAAACCCTTTCGTCTAGCAGGTTTTCCATCTTGTGAGGCGTTCGTCTTGCGGGGCACCACTGTACAGTGGTACCTCTACTTACGAGCACCTCTGGTTATGTATCCTTTGGGATATGCATGCAGCAAACTTGTGGCTGTCATTTTAGGAGGTGGTACTTTCTTGGTTACACTGATCTCTTACGTCTATATCATCTCTACTATCTTGCGCATGCAGTCTGCTGAGGGAAGGCGCAAAGCCTTTTCTACCTGTGGTTCCCACCTGACTGTAGTGGAAAAAAAGTGTTCATTTTCTTTGGGACCACCATTGCCACCTATGTTCGCCCCACCTCCAGCTATTCACCCAAATGGGACAGAATTGTTTCCATGTTGTATGGGATTGTTACTCCTATGCTAAACCCTATGATCTACAGTCTGAGGAATAAGGATGTTAAGAGGGCCTTGGTCAAGGCATTTCACCTCCAAACATTTTCATGAAGTGGCTAAATTCTCTTTTTTCTGTCCTTCAACACTCTCATAATGTGTTTGGCTTCTAATCACATTCTTGACTAATATTCGACTGATCGATTGAAAGGAAATAAAATCTGGTTGATACCCTCCTCAGTTTCCACAGGACATCTTTTAAAGAGAATAATACATGGCCTTTTGTTTTGATATAGGGTAAAGTTTTGACACCATGACTGTTTTTGCTGCTCCAATTTGTTTGCACTGAAGCTTGAGTGGGTTAATTGTGCATTTGTGGGTTCACACTAGTGCACAACATTACATCTGGGGTAACAGCAGCAGCAGCAACAACAGGCCCCACTATTTGTGAGTACTGATGGTTCAAGCTCCTTGCAACAAGAATTTTTGGATTCAGGAGCTTCAACCTGTCCACACTAACTGTAGCAGCCTTGCCTGAGAGTAATTACACCTGAACACAGTGGGTGTTACCCCTGAGGGTTGCAGTGTTTTTGCCTGGTAGCTCATGCTTTGCTTGCACATGATCCCAGGTTCAATCCCTGGCACCTCCAAGTAGGCATTTGGAAAATATCCTGCCTTAAACCAGGGGCAGCTGCTGCCAGTCAGTGTACCTACTACTGAGGAAGACGAGTCAGTGGCATAGCTCAGTGGAAGGTTGTTTTCCATGTACCTATCATTTTAATTCTTTTTAATGATGATAACCAATACCTCTCTTTATATTTATGTTGAGATGTGAAGCAAGTAACTTGTGGTGGCACGATGTTTATACCGTGATAACCCGAGGTATCACTGTATAAACATTGTGCCACCACAAGTTACTTGCTTCACATCTCAACATAAATATATATTAACCCAAGTACTTAATTCGTTCCGGAGGTCCGTTCTTAACCTGAAACTGTTCTTAACCTGAAGCACCACTTTAGCTAATGGGGCCTCCTGCTGCCGCCGCGCCGCTGCACGATTTCTGTTCTCATCCTGAAGCAAAGTTCTTAACCTGAGACACTATTTCTGGGTTAGCGGAGTCTGTAACCTGAAGTGTATGTAACCTGAAGCGTATGTAACCCAAGGTACCACTGTATCTCCCCGCTCCCAGGTACATCTGGTGACATAGGTGTCTACTTTTCAGCACCACTTTGTCAGGTTTCTGTAGGGACTTGACTTGATGTGACTAGCTGTAAATTCCTGGTATTCCATCTGATGTACTATATAGGTTGTAATTTTATATGTGAATGTTTTGCTTTTGTTTTAATGGAATTCATGTTTTATGTTGTAAGCTGTCCTGGTATCATTAATAGAATGATGGCCAGACTAGAAATTGAAATCATAATAGTAAAAATGCTAAACACTCTCAATGTTACTCAAAAAACTATTCCATCCTTCCCTTCTTCCTTCCTTGAATCATGGAATCACTAAATTAAGTCTTCTTGAATTTGCCATAACTTTGGGAGAACTCAGCTACCCTGAATCAGGGTCATAGGATTCAAAACACATTTGGGCCAAATAAGTTTTCTCACTTGCAACTTCAAGTCAGGAACAGCAAGATGCCCCAGAGACGCTTGTCCCAATGTAGACACTTCACCTTAATGCCAGCTCTCCCCATGGCAAAAGTGGGAGTGGAGGGGGGAGAAGGCTTTCCCTCTTTGCCAAATGGCAGTGGCAATATTTCTTATATTATACTTCAGAAGATGTACATTTCTCTTGACTCCACATACCGGTAAGTTCTTTACATTGCCCTCTCCTACTGTGGTGCTACAGATTACAAGGAAAGGAAGAAAGGCAAGTGGGTGAATTTCATTATACTGGCAATCTTAGGCAGTCAAACATTTTAGGTCT